ACTTATTCTGTAAGCATCTTTCCAAGTTGATTCGGGTGAAGTCGAAATAGAAATATCGTAAACTATCCGACGTGAAAACATTGCGCTTTCCTAGAGAGCTTCATTATTTTTGTGGTGTTTCAAATTGTCAGTTGTTATCAACTGTTCAATGTCAATATCGCATTGTTATTGATTATTTTTTATGATCGATATAAACCATCATCATGGACCCTATATTCATGTATTTTGTGGACGAGGCGGAAGAAGAAGCGCGTCAAGAACAATTGAGATTGGAAAGGATAACCTTGCGAGATAAGTATAATGCCTTTCATAGGCCCGAAAGGGAATTCCGGAGGTATTTCCACCTCACTCCACACATGGCTCCTGCCTGCTCCTGTGGTTAGAGCCAGAAAAATCCCAATTCAAATTAGAGTATTGGGTATGTCTCGGTCCAAATTTAGCAGGTCATTAAGTGATGAAATATGTTTGGCTTTAGAGGCCATTGCTCCTCAGTGGGTTGAATTTCCAGTAACCGAGGCTGAGAAAAAGCTTAAGAAAGAGGAATTCATGGCCCAATTCGGATTTCCGGGAGTGATACGGTGTATCGATGGTACCCACCACTTACCCTTTTGTGATTTGCGCTATTTTACCACAGTATTTTTACTAAATGCTAAGGCTATAATAACATTTCAGGGAAAGGGAAATATTGAAGGCGGTTATTTTAGTTCCCAAATACGAAATTAGGAAATATCTCTGCGAAATATTCAAAATATGAGAAAAACCTTTGACAAAACTACAAAATATAACCACTAATAAACAAAACATAAACTCTGACAGAAATTGAACGTTTCCAATAATGTGTTAGAAAAAAATAGAAACAATTTTTCCATTACAGAAACACCTAAACGGGTCTTTCTATTTCTCTATACCGACCGAACACCGAACGGGACTCGAATGCTGCCGAACTAGCATACAGAATAAGGTTTTGTGACAATAGAAAGAAATTTCTTGCCTAGAAAGAATTTTCTATGTCTATGGCGTTACAGAATACGCACTCTGAATGCCTGTATTCAACCAAGAGTATTTAAACTGTGTTCCCACTTTCGATGGAAACCCTAATAACTTAACAGATATTTGGCGACATGTGACAGCCTAATTCGAACTTTCTATAATACGGCAGATCCTAGTAAATTCGAAAATATCTATCTAATTATTTGTTTGATAGGAAAGTTAACTGATACAGCTAAAGAAGTAGGTAATTAATATTCAAAATTTGTCCAATTGGGACGACTTGAAATCGACGCTAGAAAGGAACTTCGCCGATCAGAGCGACGAAGCTTGTCTTAATCGCGACTTGGTTATGTTGAGACAGCAATCAAATGGAACTCCATCACAATAATATGACAAAGTTTTACACATTTTGAACTTATGTTCATATATTTCGATACGCGCGAACATGCAGACGCTGCTAAAATACTAAAACGTAATTTATATTCAAATTTAGCGTTAAAAACGTTTTTGTCAGGTTTAAGAGAACCTTTAGGAACTGATATTAGATGCATGCGTCCGCTAACTCTTCCCGAACCTATGCAAATGATTAATCGAGAAAATACCAACCAATATTTTCAAAATCACGCCAAAACACAAAATACAAAGCCAACGAAATTCCAAAATAACTTTTCACGATCCAATAATTATTCTAATTCTAATCAGAACTCTAATAGTCCTTATTACCACACCCCTAACGATTTCTTCAGAAGGCAAAATAATGCCTTTCCTTCACAAACAATTAACGTTCAATCAAGACCGCAATCTCAAAAATTCTCTACAAATTCTCAGGTTTTCGGAAAACCGCAAAATCAAAATGTTTTCAGGCCTGGTCAAACTAAAAATGTCCAAAAACCAATTCCAATGAGTACTACTTCACTCTTCACGATTCTCAAGTAATAATATGAGAAATCCTTACAATACTAATTCTCAGAATCAAGGACAGAGTTTCCCTAACCAACAACAGAAAATCAATGTTATCTCAGAGGAATTGTATACCTAACACTGAAATAAATCAATATTCCGAAGCGCATGACGAATACGATCAAAGTTTTGATCAGAACTCTGAAAATCAATATTATGATTTTGAAGGAGCGGGTTCTTCCTTTCAACCCGAAGTCCAAACTGCAGAATTTCCGGGAGAAACCGAAAATTTTCAGGAAGCACCTCAACTAAAGGAGAACGTAACCGATCACATAATTTCTATCAATAATTTTAATGTCAGCAAATTATTAGGTATTATTTTACCAGACAAAATTTATAACTTTTAATTGACAGTGGTTCTTCAAGATCATTTATTAACCCCGATCTAGCAACTAAATTTTATGCCTGAAAATATTACTGAAGAACCACCATAAGAGGCACTCAGATTTCAGCCCACAAACACAGTAACTACTTTAATCCCGTCCTCAAAATTATTTGAATTACCTGAACCTGTGTTTTTAAAATTTTTCCTATTTAAATTTTATGACACTTTTGATGTAAATGGAATTTGATGCAAATGCCAATATTTCTCAACTTTAGACCTTGCCAGTGGGTTTCAGCAAATCCAAATGGATGAGAAAAGTAGTCCCAGAACAGCTTTTAATTGTGAAAACGGTCATTATGAATATTTAAGAATGCCCTTTGGGCTCAAAAACGCCCCCGCAACCTTTCAGTGCTTTATGGATAACGTGCTACGCGGATTACAGAACGAAAAATGCGCTATTTGTTTAGAAGACATAATAATATATTCTACTTCCCTTCAGGAACATCTTGAAAAATAAAGAAGTGTTTTCGAACAACTCAGACAATCGAATTTCAAAATCCAAGTAGATAAGTCGGAATTCCTCCGTAGAGAAGTAGCATACCTGGGACACGTCGTTACACCCTTTGGTGTTAAGCCAAATTAACCCAGACAAAATAAAGGCGATTTAAAATTATTTTATCCCGAAAACGACAAAGCAAATCAAAGATTTTCTAGGACTCCTAGGTTACTATAGACGATTCGTCAATAATTTCGCAAAACTAACCAAACCTTTAAACAAATGTCTTAAGAAAGGTGCTATTATTGATCACAATCCCGAATTTGTAAAATGCTTCGAAACCTGTAAAAACCTTCTAATAAATCAACCCATCCTCCAGTACCCAAATTTTTCTAAACCTTTCAATCTCACTACTGACGCTAGTAATGTCGCACTTGGTGCAGTCCTGCCTCAAGGGCCTATCGGAACTGATTTACCTGTAGCGTATGCTTCCCGAACCCTAAATAATAGCGAAGCAAATTATTCCACCATCGAGAAAGAACTTCTTTGTATTGTATGGACAACAAAATATTTCCTTGTATAAGCTTCTTCAACTCTTCAATGGCTATTTTCTGGAAGAACCGGGTTCGAAACTACTTCGATGGCGAATTAAGCTTGAAGAATTCGACTATAAAATCTTCTATAAAAAATACTAACGCCGACGCCTTGTCCCGTGTCGAAATTCACGCCAACGAAACCACAGATAATTTTGATATTAGTCAATACATGGACGAGTTCAATCAATCCCTACAATCTTCTTATTGAAATGCTGAATTAGGTAGGCGTTGTTTTTTTCTTGAGGAAATAGGATAGTCCCAACAGTTTTCGTCAGCACATTCTGCTGTTCACATATTGTGAAGAATTAGAAATTTAATTTTTGTGTTCAAAAACTCGGTTAGCTAATAATTAGAGTTGGATTTGTGGAAAAACGTAGGAAATTTTTTAAATAGTTAGGAATTTACGTTTTTATTTGTACCTACCGAACCTGCTACCTACTTACCTAAATTTTGAAGTTCAGCATCTATTTAATTTGAACATTTAGGGCCGATATTTTTGCTCTCGATTAACAAATTTGATACGTCGTCAAAGTTATGCATGGGCCAAAGTCGATATAAGTATGATATGGTTAGAGCACATTCAAACCCCTGATTATTTTTAACGGCTGTCAAATGAGAGCAAAAGTATACCGGCACTTAATGGACCATATTTCGTAGGTAGTCTCGAAATAACAAAATCCTTGTTTTGAAACATTGAATATGGATCGTTTTTAATGGAAAGAGGCTAAAAATTTGTATTTCATTTGCCTTTTTTACTATCTAAAAATTTTTTGATAGATGAAATTTTGACTGTACCGGGCCCTTTTTTCGTCAAAAGCGTCTTCTTGCAAATTGTAGCTCAAACCATAAATTAACACTTTTGGTGATTTTGCTTAGATTACCTGTTAATGGGATAATTGACTCGTTTTATGGATTATTTGCAAATCTATTTTTTTGGTTCAAGCTTTGTTAGACATCAAATTTGCAACGCCAACGCCAAAACTCTCTCTCTTCCTCAATTATTTCCAGCGTATGGTTTGCGTGCATTTTCCTGTTTCCCGATATTCTGCTCGATCCCGATCCCAGCTAGTTTAGGGAAAGACTTCAGAGGGAGTGTACCTTGTTTTGCTCTCAAAACCAGCTGGCGTATTTTGGTAAACTTAATAATAAATCGAAAATTATGATTCCTTCTAAAACAGGACACTTTTCCAAAGTGTTGATTTGTGCATTTACAGTTCTGACACTAACTAATGGTGAGTTTTAGGATAAATTTTCACATTTGTATGTTAACTTTTTAGATTTTAAAATAAAGCGTGGGCAAAACAAGACCTATACTTATATCTGGATGCGATGCAATTAGACCGTATCATGTATATACATTTAATTTACGAATGTAGAAATTCTCCTATTCATAAAATACCAAAAAGCTATATAGAGTCAATAATTTTGAATTAAAATTTCTGGTAAAAATAGGGAAGGGTTTTTATTCGTGTAATATTCAACAGGCAATTTTTTGAAAACATTCATGGCATTAGGGGAAAAATAGGTACCTAACTGTAATTTAAAATAATAGAGACTATAGAAACTAAACAGAAAAGAAATGTTTCAAGTTTAACTTTTTCAAACAGACGTAGACTAACAAAGGATTAAAAAAATGGTTTTGTTAGGTACTTTAGCCAATACGACCAACCTAACTTGCTACCAATGTGAAAAACACAATGAACAAGAATGCGACCCAAAAGATCTGAAGCCATGTGCAGCTTCATTTGATAGATGTGCCATACAGTTCACAAAGAATGGTGAGTGTCTTTTATTATATGAATTTTTCGATGTATAAAACCAACTTACAATAACAACATTTTTTGCATATTACTAACTATAATACCCAATCAGCTCGTACATAAATGCAATCAAAAAAATATGCTTGACCCAATGAAAATTAAGGCATTAAGTTAATGAAAATCCGAGTTAATTACGTACTTATTTCCGAAGACAAACTTTTAATTGAAAACATGAATAGTGGCAAAATTGCATTAATTGCATCACGGCCAGGAGCTTGACATTCGCGATTGCGGAATGATTAAAATCAATTAGACAAAATTAATCCACAGCGTTTCAATCTAACTTTGACCGCCCTTGGGTCAATGCCAATGTTCAAATTTGGATTAGGTTAGATTGTCTCATTAGGCTTGATTCCTGGTATAGTTTCTCTCAATAGATGAATTACCTTTTCAACTGAACAGTTAATAATTATACTTCCTATCTTATATAGAGTGTTTATTATTTTTCATAGATAATGCAATCTATTTATTTGCTGTAAATTTCCTGGAAAAACTGGCTGCGGCGCGTATTTTTGCCACTTTTTCTTTCCCTGCTTCTGAAAACCACCCTCAGGTATGGAAAAAGAGGCGATGTTATTATTGAGGCGACACTAGATACTTTCATGGAACTGTCCTTGCGCCTCTAGCCTTGTAATAATAGATAAGGGTTACACAAATTTATACTCTGGTTTCATATATTTTTGTTGTTGATTTTTTTGAAAATTTGGTATGTTGCACCAAGTATACAGGCTGACCCAGTAAAGTGAGTCCGAAAATCATAAAACAAGCCTTTTAATTATCGATGTTAGCGCACCCTGAAATCTACATATCGAGATTTTTGTTTTCGATCTCGCAAATAAATAGTCTAGATGAACCTAGTATACTATACACGGTGGCTAAGCTTGCGTATTCTCTTAGAAATCCTGCCCTATTCTTTGAAATAGTGGTACCAAAAAGGTCGCACTGGATTTTATTTGCTCTTAACTTTTTTTAATAAGTAGTGCTACAAGTTATAGTGGGAAAATGGTGAAATACAACCTAAATACACTATAATATTTTCACTTCAAAAGTCGTGATCACCTACTGCACTGTCTTGCGGTTTGCACCATTTGACTTTCTCTTGGCCTAAAGTTTTTTTCAGTTGGTTGCAAGTTTTTTCGACACTTATTCAGAGCCAGTAAAAAAAACGTTTTTGAACATCGAAATTCTCCACTATTTTTAATGGAACACCCTGTATATCATAACGTCAAAAAAAAGAGTCATGTTATTATATCACACGGTGAATATGTGTGAAAACTTATACCACGCCGATTTTTAGGAATCGTGCGACAACTGATATGAATAATTGTGATTAGGTAATTACTAATTACTCTCAACTTTACCCTTTTGAGTCTTGTTTTCAATTTCAAACTGGGTTTAATGTCGAATTTCATCACATTTGTAATTTTTTAGATTTGGATTAGATTGGCTTTATTTCAAGACCACATTTTTTTAAATCCGACAAAAATTAAAAAAGTTACGGACAAATAAAATCCAGTCCGACCTTTTTGGTAACACTATTTCCAAGAAATAGGGCAGGATTTCTAAAAGAATACGCAAGCTTAGCTACCCTGGTATAGTATATTAGTCTTATCTAGGCTATTTATTTGCTAAATCGAAAACGAAAATCCCGATATGTACCTATATAGCTTGCAGTGCACGCCAACATCGATAATTAAAAGGCTTGCTCTATGATCTAACTGGGTCACCCTGTATAGTTAGAGATTTGGTGCAATGATGAAAAATGCTTATTTTTGCTAGTACTACAACATACCAAATTTTTAAAAAAATCGACCGGTCCCCGAAGACCCTAAGATGTGTGCGATGTCCTTATCTTAAAATCCAGAAAAAGCTTTGGAGGAATTTTGGAGCCGCAGAATATCTTAAATTTTATAATTAAAAAATTAAATACATAATAGGTAGGTACTAGCAAAGTCTTACTAGGGGCATAAAAAATCAAAAACGTTATAGGTAGGTACCTACCTATACGTATTAACGGTAGGCAATAATTAAGTTTATTATAATCTCAATTCTCAATTAAACATTAATTTGTTTGAATTTCGTCAACAATCATTCAGACAAAATAATTTCACACTGGTCCAATTTAACTTTGAATGCAAATGCCAAATTTGAAATTTAAATTGGGCAAGTTTGGCTATTTGGACCAAATAGGTATTAATTGAAAACATTGTTCGAAGCAGAAATTGGCTATAAGTGATACAATATTATTTTTTTTCATTATTTGGGAATCATGTAGGTACAATACAATACATAAGTAAAAATAGTTGACATTAATAATAGATACCTACTATCACATGTAGCAAAGATAGTACCTACTGCTAGAGAAGTGGCGAATAGGCATTAGACTAGAAAAGAAGCTAGACTCTTCCTTAGACGCGTGTCTGTAATTATTCATTTTTCAATTTTCATTTCTATTTTGCATTAAAATTGATTGTTCAATCCAATTTGTTATTAGTGTGTGTGTAAGGACCGTTCACAGGTTAGTGGATTAAATGTTATTTTGTTTTTGAGAGTTCAATTTATGCAAGTTCCTATTATTTTGTTCATTTTTATGTATTTTTTTGTTTGTTTATAACATTTTTTATAACATGTGCATTGTTCATGTATTTAACACAAATCGTTTCATACTGTAAACAACACAGATAAAAAAGTAAATTAGAACCTAAGAAAAATTATGTGCTGTCTTTTTGTGCTGGGATTTTGATTTTTGGATTCAGAGCGTGCATTAGGGCCTTGTTGAATTTACTAACATTTTCCTACCCTGACAAGAGAATATCCTAACAAATTGAGAAAAACCAATCTAGAGATGTTGGCTCAAAAACAACTATACCTGTGAGTTACCGTAACCAGGGACCTCAGTACCTGCCACAGATGCCAGATGGGCTAACTAACCCAAAACTCTTCAGTATTAAATACAGGTAGTGTTGATTGAATGTAGTGTGTGTAATTGAAATTTTAGCACAAGAACAAAGGATGGTACCTAATTTAAACTTTTATTGACTTAAATTATTGACTCACAATTATTATTTAAAATGACACGACACAGTATGTTTCGATTTTTGAGGAATGTTAGATCGAGGGTTTCTCTGCCGTTCTCTTTTCCCTCGAGAATTTCAGGTCGAGAACGGTACGATTTACTTTAATAATAAAGTAGACGTTTCACAAATTTTTCGTTTCTTTTACATATCACAAAATTCCCTTAAATTTCCCTAATATTTGCTATGTCGGGCGCATGTCCAGTAAGTAAAATTGAGTAAGTTTCCACAACGTAGGTCCTATTTGTTTTGCATTTCATTTTTCAGAAGATTTGTTGTTTAAAAGGTAATAAAAATCATCATCGTTCAATCTTACTGAGCGAACCCGGGTATGTTATACTACAATATCGAACAGCACTGGTCAATGTCAGAAACAGCTATACTTAACATCCTGTGGAGAATCAACGGGCTCCATCACATCAGGATTGGTTTGATGAGAATAATAAAGAAATTCAGAACCTCATCGATCAGAAGAGAAAAGCCCGCAATATCTAGTCAAACGACCCAAAATCAGCTCGCAAGAAACAAACCTATATTCATGCAAAAAGGCTGCTGAAGTAAAGAGGACAAGCCAGTGGGGGATAGGAATTCAATTGAATTGGAAAATCTAGCAGCCACTAGCCACTAACAACCCAGAGCCTTCTTTCGGCGCCACAAAAGTAACCTACGGTCTTACGATAAGAACTGGCTTATTCAGCCATCAAAGAACCTACAGATAATGATGCAGCCAAGATTCTCATGATACGTACTCGTTAGCGAGTCATTGCCTATATGATGAGTGATGAGTGCCCAGAATGATCATCTATACCTAAACATATTACCCAAATGATCAAATACAGATTTTGAGTGGCAAGGTTTGTGGTCTCTCTCTATTATTATTGGGAAAATAATTATATATAAGTACTCACCTAATAAGCGTAACCATCATACACGACAGCAAAGAAAATGTTTTGCGATGGTCGGGTTAGAGAGATGGCGGTTTTTCCTTTTCTAAATTAGATATTCTCTGGATGGGGATTGCACCGAGGATTATTGTTCTCTTTTAATTTGTCTCGGCACGACATTCTTATAGGCAGATAGGCGCTGTTCTTAGAGCGGGAAACTGTCCTTGAGGCGTGTGTATGTATGTAAAAACTAAATAAAAACTTGAGAAACATCACCACGTATGCCGCTACATTAAAGTATCGGCGTTACAAATTATTGTAAATGAAATAAATAAATAAATCCTACCTATTGTCACAAATTTCGCGAGTCAACTAAAACTCACTTTACCAACAACAACAACTTTCATCGAACTAATTGACTTTACAAAATTAACTCACCGCTGATCGTTTTTATAAATCAAGTTTATACAACAATTCACTTATTAGAACTGATTCTAACTCAAAAACTACGCTCTGCAGGTACCTACATACGAAACCAATCCCCCAAGAAATCTCTAGAATTCTTGTTTATTTAATCCATAGGTATTTACAGTAGGAACGAATTCCTGAATATTCCCGCACTGGTCGTGCACAATGGCGTCGGCTTTTCCGCACCAATATACAGGTCCCGTAAAATAACTTGGCGAGAGCTGGCGCAGGTAGGCGTAGCACTTGGTCCTTCTCTTTCGCCCAGGCAAAGCTAAAGCTGTATACAAACTGTATACAAAAAAGTTTACGCCCCTACCTTTTCCGAATTTTGTCTACTGCGCAAATTGCTTTCCCGCCAAGTTATTTTTCGGAGCCTATCATTTCGTAATGACAATTCATTCAACATCTAAAGATTCACCACCTCCTCTCAGATGTATATTCATTGCATCTATCATTCAACATTTCCCTACCACCGGCAGTACTATACTTTACAAAACTATGACTTTTTAAATAATTTAATCTAGATCCATTTTCTTCTTCATATACTCACCCGTAATCACCTCCAGGGTTGCAGCTACCATTTATGTAGGTACGGTGTGTTCAAAACACAGAGGCGGCCGATTGAAAGGGGCGGCCAATTGAAAGGGATTGCTGCCGCCTTTCCTGATGCAAAAAAAAAACATGTGCAGCGCCGTACACGTGGTAGAAGTGAAACTTCTTAAAAACTATCCCCCCTTATACAACTGTTAGACAGCGACTGAGTCGGGGTAAAGACGAAGTACTACACAAAAGGGAGTCGCGCATCCATAGTGACGTCACAAGAATATCGGCGCTTGTCAATAATAGGCAATCCTCCTTGCTTATAATCCTTGGGTTGTGTCAATCGATCGTCGGCTGTCATTATCATTAGCTGGCTTTTTCCGTCTCTCTACGTTATATTTTTCTTCTCTCTCGTGTAACAAAATTTCCAAAATGTGCAAGTCTTTGAAATCACTTTCGATTCTCGTCCAAATATCAGATCGCCGCCTAAGAAGTTTTCAATAGTAATATAACGAGTGTAATGGAAATAATTATCGATAATTTTTTGGGAATTTGCCCGAATGCATTTTTAGTAGTGCTCGAGTGCCTTTTTCAGTCAAAAACGCATGAGTGCAAATTTGTCAAAAGTGCAAATTATCGCGTAATTCCAATCTGATTGGTTCAAATCAACAATCAAAACATGTCAGTTTATTGTTGGAATGTCAGTTTTGACAGATGTATGAAATTCTCACTTCAAAATAAATCATACACATCGAGTTTTATCGAAAATAAATCTCTCAAACAAATAAACCCATATATTTGTCAAATTTCAAGCAAATTGAAATAAATTATATACTATTGGAAAAAGCATTAAGTTCTCTATAAATCCGTGCAATAGTGAGTTTGGTAGCTCAAATGGTTTTTGAGCAATTGAGCCTCAAAGTTGACTTTTTGTCCAAATTTTGTCAAAAACTTTAAACTCAATTTACTCAAAAACTAATAATCTGGGAATATTGTGAATTACAGGAAATTCAAAGCTTAATATGAGCTACAAATGCAAATTGAAGTTTGAATATTTTGAAATCAGAATTCAAAGGGCGGGGTACCTACCCCTATGAAAAACTCGATTTTTTTTATTTCTTAGTTTTGCTCCATTTTGACTTTATTAAACGATAGAGCGGGTCAGAATTAGTGAAAAACAACCCTGACATCAATTTCAAAAGGCCATTTAAAGCAGAAACAAATTTTTTTAAAAAATCCTATTTTTGGCTCTGGAAAATTTTCAAAATCTTGACATGGTCATGAGCCCATATCTTTGTTAAATTTCGGGCAAATTAGAATAAATTTTATACCATTGGAAAGATCTTCTTTATAAATTCTTTATAAATCTGTGCAAAATTGAGTTCGATAGCTCAAATATCAAATCAAATTACAGGCCATTCAGAACTTAATAAGAGCTATAAATGCTGGAAATTTCAATGCATTTTGCCCAACGGCTACCGAGCAATCGAGGTTTGAAGATTTTGAAATTAAAATTCAAAGGAGTACCCTCATGAAAATTCGATTTTTGAAGTAAAACTTTTTAGGCGGCGGTCTGATATTTGGAGAGAATGGAGAGTGATCTGAAAGACGCGTCACGTTTTCGCAAATTTCGTTACACGAGAGAGAAGATAGTTGTAACGTAGAGAGACGGAGAAAGACAGCCAATGACAGCTGACGAACGATTGACACAAACCAAGGATTTTAAACAAAGAGGATTGCCTATTATATTTTCAAGCGCCGATACCCTTGTGACGTCCCTACAGATGCGCGTCTCCCTTTTGTGTGGTCCCTCCTTCGTCTTTACCACGTTCCATGACTCATACGTTAAAGTCTAAAAATTGTATTCCATTCCAACGCTCTTAATTTTGTACTTTAGATGGAAGTGGAGCGTCGAAAATTGTCTGGGAACACAGGCGGCTAAAGGTAGGATTTTTAACTATCCGGCATTGCGGTATGCGGCTTTGGGACGTGCCGGTGAGTTGTGTATCATGTTGTAACATCGAGCTGTTTTGTTACCATGCGTTATGCGGCAACGTCACTGCGGCATCGCAAGCTGTCTTTGCGGCGTGCCGCTGAAAAACTTCAAAATGTTTTTCCACGATACCGCATTAGTGTGCGACGCCCCACCACCTGGCAAAATACTACACCTTTGAGCTTTGTTCTTGCAGCCATTGCAGCCAAAATAGTAAAACAGGTCACGTGAAACTCTCGAGTATGCTTTAAATTGAGTTTCACCATCATTCAAGTGACGTTCAATGAAAATGTTATACGCTCCTTCTTGTGCTAGACTTTCATAAATGTTTGATATTTCACTGCGATTTTGACAACAGTGAAATACAGCTTTTTCTTCATGTTCTTCGAGCAAGAGAATCGCAGCAATAGTACGACGGGTAGCTGATTTCATTTTTTGATCGCGACTTCAAAAATATTTGCCTGACAGCTAAAAAACAAATTTGCCGTCAACGGTATGCGAATTGCGATATCCGCAACATCGCAGTACCGCACACCGCTGCCGCATACCGCAATGCCAGATAGTTAAAAATCCTACCTTTACACCCTAGCGGCGGCCCTGATGATCTTCATCATTCTAACAATCAACAGGACTGTACCATTCTATACCTGTGAAATATATGCCTTCTTGTCATTCTTGATGCTGCGAGTATGTCTAATAGAGTAAGGTTGAATAATTTTCTTCTAGCGGGGACTGATTCATACATTGTCCGACGTTAAATTAAATTTTGGAGGGAAAAATATGCCTTTGTAGCTGACATTCAGAAAATGTACCTGCAAGTGCAAGAACGGGAAGATACTGTGGCGAGAAATGCATCTTGTACTCATCCACTAGACTTCTACCTACATGAAATCACAGTAGTATTTTTTGGTTTTACCAGTAGAAGGCAACCAATAAAAATTGAAAAGAATTTATAGACAGGTAGGTATCCAGAATCAGACAAAGGATTCATAGAAGATCACTATAGGACGATTACCTTGGAAATTCTGACTCAATTGAACCTGTTAATGCGTAGGACGTAGGTACTGAGTGTTCATGAAAGGGAGGTTTTCTTGTGAGAAATTGAATTTGCAATTCACCAAAAATTGTTTCAAAAATTAATGATGAGCTGAAATCAAATCACAATTTTGGAAGACGAACAGAAGGTTGAGAGAATTTTAGTCGCTTGGTGGATTCTTGAAACACACCAAGACCTACTAGAAGACATATTTTGATCTTGGAGTTCTAAAAAAAAATCTAAATTCTAGACGTGAATTTGGCTAATTGTCCTGTCCTCAAACGACCAGTTGCCAAAATTTGTGTGATAGAAGTGGGAAAAACCAATAGAGAGTAATGATTTTCCATGCAGAAATGAGGTGAAAAATATTAGTGATTCTTGTGAATCAAGCTTTATTATTGTCATGTTTAGCTTAGTTTGTCAAATTTTCATATTTCATTATCAAGTTGTAATGTTTATAGTTTAAAGTCAGAAAGATATAATCGCAAGGTAATAAACAAATAGAAAAAAGAAATAAAATTTTGTTAGAGCTTTTACTTATTTCAAAAGTCTTTGGAAGCCAGATTAATTATACATTTCAGGTAAAAATGAATTGAGAGCCATAACAAATGTGTAGGTAGAGAAAATTCACCTGTAATTATATTCAAGATCGAGAGTTTTATGCTTAAAATTACTGCAGCATTAACTACAGATATTTTTTTTTTTAGCCCAACAAGGTCTGTTCATAAAACGGACATGCGGCCTAGGTCCGTGCGGATTTGACGACGACATGATGACAAAGGGACTTGGAATGGAATGTGATAGAAGCAAAGATTCTTACTGGTGCGTCATTTGTTGCAAGGAGAGCGGCTGCAATAAAAACTTTAGTGTTAATACAAGAATTGTGTCAAACTTTTTGCTACTCTTTGGCTTGCTAATAATTTGTCTTTTCAACGTCGCTAGAGATTTTATTCCACCCTATGTCTCAGAAACTAGACATTTCGGGAAATAAGTGGTTTTCTAAAAAACGATGTAATTATTATATATGTATTATTGTGCATAAAATTCCTTTTTTTTTGGTAGGATAGGATCTCGAAGATATTGAAAATTGAAATATAGGGACTCAAAGTCGGGCTTTAATTATTATGCTATATTACAGAAATTTAAACTATCCAAGATACTGTGTAAAAGACATATAAAGGCAACTAAGTACACAATTGTTGGCTTAGTTGGTAAATATAAATTTTAAACAAAACATTCTCTAAGTATTTTCTTTTAAAAAAGTGTCATACAATTTTGCAATGTAGGAGGATACTCAGCGGTTCCTTGTCCTGAAGCTTGAATTTGCTGGGAAGATTGAACTGCTGCCATCGCCATGGAAACTGGTGTGGTTGAAGGATGATATGGCACCTGAAACAATATTTTTCCAAATTCACTTGACACATAATGTTGAAACGAAAACTAGTGGCATGTACTCGTCTCGCAAAAATTAACATATCAATCATCTTAAATTTAAAAAAATAATAATACCTAAGAAAAAATACCCAATGTTCATATCCATTTTAAATTTTGAAATACCTAATAGGGTAAGTTGAAAAATGAAAATATGCAGAAAATTTTCATACAACTATGAACTAAACTATCATAAACGGTACTAAAACATCAGAATGCATCACTTAAATCAGTAGTATACTGATAAAGATTATAAATGTATCCTATTATTTAGGTTTTATTTAAGATGACAGTAATGACCCTATATGTAAGGGTCACTGCTTCCAACTGTCACCAAAGATGATCGTTTCATTCTGATTGGAGAATGCAACTTTGGGTTTTTTTGGATTTACTTGGAACAACTCGGAAGAATAGTCAAGAAGGACATTGGAATAACAATACTTTCTGACACTACTGGTAACGTCAGAATAATTTACCAACTCACGTTGAGACTTCTTACCGTAGTTAAGAATGTGGCAAACCTTTCGCACATTCAATAAATTCGAAAAAAATTTCATAGTCAATTTTAGCTCAAGATCCCTTTGTAATACATAATGTTCAATTTTTCAAGGGAATAACCAGGACTATTTGGTAGTAGGTATGTATTCATTTTCAAATTGTATTTTTCCAGAAAGGCCGTTCAAGTTCAAAATAAAGCAGCTTTTAATACATGACACTTTCTACAGAATTGATGACTGGAAGTAAAACCTGCAGTGATATGATTTTAATTTGTTGTTAGTATTAATGTGACAATTTAAGTTTCAAGACTCTTGACGATGTAATTGGGCTGGAGCCTCTATATGTAAGGGTAGCCGTGTTGGGATTAGAAGTAAGTATTGAAAGTAAAAATAACAAAAAGAAGTGGACCGAATATGCACCAGATACAATTGCCACAGCAGATTGAAAACTCTCAATAGTTGGCTGAGGTCAACATCTTAATAAATGAAATGATACCGAAATAGTATCAATTTGGATGATATCTTGTATGTCACTAATCAAATCACAGATTGAATATCACGTCTAGCTTTCTACTCAATGAATGAATTTTTTGGACATTTATTCACAAATTGCTGGCTATTAAAAGCCATATTATGTTCTTATTATGTTGAAATAAGGAAATAGATCTAGCTGTAGTTTGTTTAATGTTCCTGTGCAACTTAACTTTCAACTTTTCGAAATATACGTATTAGATTTGATCCGATATTTTATTTAGAAGTCAGTCAAATTGACTTACAGTAGTATTATGATGAAATCTAGGATCTAGCATCATAGCGGCAGCCACAGCAGCGGCTGTGGATGTGGCCGTTGAATGATTGGTCCTCCCCAACATCACGTGGCTATTGTTATGAGTTGCACTAGCAGCGGAGCGCTGAGTGTGACTCACAACAGCTGCTGCTGCCGACGTCGCCAAGAGTTGATTGTGAATGTTGTGAGCGTGGGTGTGGGCATGATGAAAATCGGCAGCATGGTCAGCAAAATGATGCGAATAGGTTGATGGGTTTATCGCTGGAAATTTAAGAAAACGACAAATTAGTTAAATATGTTATAAATATTTATGATCACAAAACAAATGTGTATAACCCTAATATTGGCGATTTGAGGCTGATTCTTGATTGGTTCCTCTGAAGCCGCGTAAAGACCGAATTTCTAACGCTAGCCAACGGCACATGTGAACTATATTGGAACGCGTTGGCTTTGGTGTATATGGCGGTGTGCCCGATGTTCTCAAATTCTTCTCAAGGCGTTGGAAATTCGGTCTGTATGCGGCTTTAGACGTGATATCTTCTTAAAGTCTCAAATCCTAAAAACTTTGAAATTAAGATAGTTCAAAGAATCAGGATGTGGTATCGATACCAGTGGAAAGTACTGTGTGTGCTGTATGTTTTGTTGTTTTTTTTTTTTGCTGTTACCCTCTTTCAAAAATTGTGATTTTTTGAAGGCTAGTGCATCTATGATAATCGGGTAAGATGTGCATATTATTTATCTTAAGTGCCTCCTAGTTACACAACAACAGCCCAAAATAGCAAATACAAAGGAAACAATTTAAATATAAACACTTTTTTGTTTGTTTGTTGTCCTTTATTTGCATATTGTACAGTAAACACAAGGTAAACACCGATAGGAATCCCGCTTTCTATGGGTCGACCGGGGCAAAGTTCCTTCCGTGGTGGCTTGGTGAATTCAGGGCAGGCTGGTGGATGCGCTATTCATAATCAAATTAAAGTGCGATCAATTTGTTTTTGCGTAAAGTTGGGACAAATTGCATACTACAAATATGGCCGCCTGTTAGCAATGCCAGTTACCCTGTACCCAAAAGGTCGATAAGAACGAGCTATTTGGAGCCCCTTGTGACTCCTGTCGCAATATGGTTTGTAAAGAATGCTCTAAACTTAGTTAATTGGAAGTTCGTGTTATGGTGTTAAAGTCAAGAAGTTTACTATATTTCTGTCCTGACTGTGTTGGAAGGTATAAAGGGTGCTCCTCGTCTACTGAAAAAACAAGATAGTAGTATGCAACGTGAAATTCAAGTTCTAACCAAAAAACTTCACTATGCTTGTGAACATGATGAACCTTTGCCAACAAACGCAGGTGCCGCTGACAAATCTGACAACTTGATCGTAGAGATTCCTCCTCCTACCCCCCTAGATCAGGATTTTATCATCACCACCATGACACGATTGATGGAAGAACAAACACAGCATGTAACGTCTAAATTCCAGGATTTTGCTCAGGCCATTAAAGAAGCAAACAAGGATATGGTTCAGTTTCTGTCTAAAAGCAATGTATTGCCAAACAATGTATCGCCCGGAGTATTGCCAAATTCATCTACAATAACAGCCAAGAAATTCATGGCAGCTGGCCTGGAGGCTGGCTCTAGTATGAAAAAAACACAAAAACCACTAAGGAAAAAAGGTGAAATAGTTGGACAGAAGAAAACAATGGGAGATAAATTGATGGCCTCCACTCCGCAAACGTCTATTTTTGTCTCAAAAGTATTCCTACAAGTTAATGAAGCAGACTTAGGGCGGGTATTATAAAACTGCTTTGATAGTTAACTTGAAGTTATCTTTTTGAATTACATGTAATTCCATAAGTTAACTTTAAGTTAACTCTTAAAGTAGTTTTATAATACCCGCCTTTAATGGAATATCTCAAAAATAACTTTGGACCAGATAAAAGCTTTATTGTGGAGAAGGTTGAGGTAAAGTCTGGTGAATATAAAGCCTTTAAAGTCAATGCAAGCCAAGACTTAGAAGAGAGCCTACTGAATCCAAATAACTGGCCGGAAAACATAATAAAAAAAAATCACACATCAAAGGGGAGGCAGCAGAACTTTTCGCCCCAGACCGAGAGGATTAAGTAACAGTAGAAACAGTACTGGATGGGACGGCAATACTGACACTAGACTTGTTAACCTAAATGCAAGGAGCCTTCGTCGCATATCTCTTGAACTGGAATTTTTCCTACCATGTCAGAAATACTTGGAAATTCTGTGTATCACGGAAACTTGGCTCACACACGACGAGGCCTCTTAATTTGTACTTAGCAACTACACTTCAGTAGCCACTTTCTCCAGGAGAGACTCTAGAGCTGGGGGGTGTCGCACTGTTTGCGCACCAGGAATTCTGCAAGCAGGCACGGTCAATAGATAGTGTTCAATCTCTTGAAGGGAACTTTGAAATTGCCGCAGCAATTATTGAAACCTTCAACAATAGCCGTTTGATAGTTTGCGTATTGTACCGTCTTCCCGGTACAAAGGACCCTGCCCAAAGTATAGGGAAATTGTGTTTATATCAGAATCGGCTGAATTTTGTATAATTATGATGTAGATCACGCCTTTCTGATTAAAAGTTATCATTGCACCAATCCTGAAAAATTACTCCTTTTTGAGAAAATTAATTTCATAGGTAGCAAGTGAAACGCTTTGGACACTGTAATAGACGTTCAATGTATCACGAATAGGTGTAGAATAGGTTAGCTTGTGGTGCAGTGGTGTGCTACATAGAGTCATTTTTCAGGATTGGTGCAATGGTAACTTTTAATAAGAAAGGCGTGATCTACATTATATACAAAATTCAGCCAATTCTGACATAGACACAATTTCCATATACTTTGTGCAGGGTCCTTTTGATTGTCTTTGCCAGAATCTTGAAAAGTTATTAGTGTTTTTAACTAAAAATAAGCTACTGTTGTTTATATCTGGTGATTTTAACTACGACTTCAAGTGCAAGACCAAGTAAATTACATGTATCAAGAACGTTTTCAGCTCGTATGGTCTTTCTCTTTCTTTGAAGCGTCAAGAATCCAGGGACTGTCTTGCACTGTACTAGATAATGTTTTTTTCAACGCTAATATACCGTTGACAAGCACATTGGAACTGACTTTTTCAGATCACAGAGCACAAGTGCTGCATTTTAATTCGGGCAAAAGCGAGTGTTATAACCTAAAGCCCAAATCTCGATGCTTCTCACAAGAAAACATTAACTTTTTCAATTATTTATTATCGAAAGAAAAATGGCTTATACACCTCCATTCACTTGAACTGGAGGACAAGTTTACTTACTTTTTTTCAACTTTTAATGAACTATCCAACATAGCATTTCCTCTAAGAAACAAGAGAAGCAATCACAACAGGAAAAAACAAAATTGCTGGATAACCTCAGAGTTAATTAAGGAGGGTTCAGATCTGAGAAAACTTCATGAATAAGTGAAAAGATCAGGCAGCCATAGGCTCTAAATGCGATACAGGAATGAACTTAAAGCACATAAAAGGAATATTGCTGTGGCAAAAAACTTCTATAACTCCAACAGGATAATAACATCCGACAATATCACTAGGACGGCTTGGGAGATCATTAACTCTCATACAAATAACCCAAAGAACATTAAAAAGTCCCTACCTGAAAACATTGTGGTAAGCGATACTGCAGTTACTGACTTAGAGGTTCTTAAAATTCTGAAATTGGTCAGCAGTAAAAAGTCATGTGATATTGATGAAATACCTTGCAATCTGATTGAAAAGTGTGCCCAAAATATTGTGAATTCATTAACATATTTGATAAATATCACTTTTGAACACGGGTACTTCTCAAAGGACCTAAAAAGAGCGGTCGTTGTCCCTATCCATAAAAAAGGGGACATATCAATAGTGGAAAACGGCAGTCGGCCTATTGCCCTCCTGTGGATGTTCTCGAAGAATTTCGAAAAGGCACTTCGCGGAAGACTGATGAGTTTTTTTAGATAAGTTCAACATCCTAACATGTCGCCAGTCCGGATTTAGGGTTGGTTGTTCAACGACCGATGCCATCTTGTCTTTCTATCAAAAAATATTAGACAACTTCAAGAAAAATTCGAAGTCAGAGGGTATATTTTACGATTTTACTAAGGCCTTCGACACTATAGACCACAACAAACTCTTGAATAAAATATCTCACTATGGCAAACGAGGACCGGCGTACACTCGGCCAATCATAAAACTGGTACATGCGTTTTCCTATTGTGTTGCATTGTGTAAATCGACCATTTTTATCACATCAAAAATAACAAAAAGAGTCAAGTCAGTGTCATCTTTAAATCAAACAAAATCCCGCCGCAAATACATTTGACATTCGACATTGACAAAAACTGTCTAACCTAAGTTTTCCAGAAGAAACTTATTGTTAATAAGCCAGACTCACATGAGGCAAATTTTAAAAATACCTATCACCTGTACGAGTTTTATAATTGGCCAATTGTAAGACTGGGTTCCGACTTATCTAAGTGATAGAAGTCAATGTGTTAAATTATCAAATGGGGGAAATTTGTTGTTGTATTGGTGTATCGCTTAGAAGCAGACGTTCTGGACACGAGGAGCTCCTCTGGATTGACGAAAATCACTATAAACCAAGTAAGTGCCAATCCTCCATTGTCTTTGTATGGCTCGGGTTTATGTCCATTAATATTTGTACGGCAAAATTGAACTTAGCGCTTACAGTTCCGCTGCTCTTCAAAATTGTGAAAAGCTAACGCAAATTTTCGTGAACACTGGACATATGTTGGATTTGGTGTACCGCAGGGCAGTGTGTTGGCTCTATCTTGTTCCTATTATTTATAAATGACTTGCCACTGTATGCAAATGACTGTTTTGTTACGCTGTTCGCAGATGACTCTTCTACCGTTGTCGAAGATGTAGGATATGGAGGGCTATGTCGGGGGGCAAATGAATGTGTCCGCAGGGTTTCTGATTGGTGCAGGGCAAACGGGCTCTGTCTGAATGGCACCAAAACGAGTTCTGTGCTATTTGCACCCATGAGAGTCCCCCAAGACAGAGGTCTGCTTATCAGGGATGGATCCAACAGTCGGGATTCTTCCTTGGAATTTCATTGGACCACCATCTGTCTTGGCATGATCAAGTTGACACAATTTGCAAAAGATGGTCAACAAAGAACTTTGCCATATAACAGCTTAGAGACCATGTGGATCACAATACTCTAAAAACTTTTTATTACGCTGCAATAAACTCTATTATGTCGTACGGTCTTCTTGTGTGGGGTAACTTCACTGATATTTCCAGGTTCCAGATTTCTCAAAAAAGAATAATCAGGACAATGTTTCGACTGACGTCATTAAAAAATAACTGTTCTGCTGGAATCGATGGTATTGACTCTAAAATTGTAAAAAGATTTCATGGTTTTCTGGTTACACCTATAGTACACATAATCAATTTAATCTTTAGTACGGGTCGAGTTCCTAGTAGCTTCAAAAGTGCTGTTGTGACTCCCATCCACAAAACTGGGGACAAATCAATGATAAATAACTATCGACCGATTAGTGTCATTAATACATTTGCCAAAATTTTTGAGAAATGCTTAAAGGACCGACTGTTGAGTTTTTTTGATCAAAACAATATTTTGGCTAAAACTCAGTATGGCTTTACAAGTGGATTGAGCACTACGGACGGAATCAGTGAGCTGACTAGACAAATATATAATAGTCTTGACAGAGGTAAGAAATGTATAACTGTTTTTTTGGACCTTGCGAAGGCATTTGATACGGTGCCTCACAGATCTCTGTTGGATGTCTTGCAGACATATGGGGTGAGGGGCGCTGTATTGGATGTCTTTGCGAGTTACCTTGAGAGCAGAACGCAAGTAGTGAAGTTGGGTGATATCCTTAGTGATCCTTTAAATATAAAAATTGGGGTACCCCAAGGAACCTTCTTGGGACCTATTTTATTCATTGCATACATAAATTCTCTGGCAGGCATGAATATAAATAATGGCTCAATTATATCCTATGCTGATGACACAGCTGTGGTTTTCTCGGACACAACTTGGGAGCTGACAAGAGAAGCTTGCGTCTCAGGTATCAATAGAATAAAAAAGTGGCTAGATTTTTTCAAATTAACCCTTAACTTATCTGAAACAATCTATATAGCATTTTCCCTTACAGAAAAAAATCGTCAAGATTTTGATCAAATATATATAGATGGACTAGATGATAGTATCAACTCAGTGGATTATACTACATACTTAGGAATTGTTATTGACAAAAATCTAAAATGGGACAAGCATGTACTGAAATTAACAAAAAACTTACGCAAACTTATACACAAGTTTTATATACTTAGAGAAAGTATGTGTTCTTTTATGCACAAATCAAAGTGTAAGAAATTTGTAGATCATTCTCACAATACTAGGTCAATTTCTGTCGGGCATCTGAAGGTACCATTATCAAATACATCTAAAAACCAACGATCATATGACTTTTTGGCTCCCAAATTGTACAATACTTTGCCACAAGTGACCAGGTCAATATCTAATTTAAAAAAATTTAATAAAGTATGTCGTACTTACATTTATGAAAATTTGTATAAATTTATGTTGCTAGTTTAATCTGGTAGGTGTAGGAACCAAATATATATATATATATATCAACTTTTTTTTATTTTTCTTCCTTTTTTCATGTGTGTGTTTTATTTTTTGTCTTAAAATTTATATTTTTTTTTTTATTTTTTTCTTTTGCACATACAGGTGTTTAGTCACCTAGGTGCGGGCGATTATTTAAGAGACTATTGAGGGAAAAATTATATTTTGTAATTATGTATATCAGATTTGTTGTTGTTGAATAAACGTTTGGAGAGTCCTGTCGCCAAGCTTTTAAGGCCGAAAATATACTTACGGTCATAAACCTGTACATTTCACAGACTGCATGTGAAGTCTTTGAAAACCGACATAGTTACATCACATGTGGGGACGTGAACAGGTACCAGACAAGAAACTTGGGCAACATTCACATACCCAGTGCAAGACTGACCCAGATCCAGGATGGTCCTATGATAACATCTTTAAAAATCTACAACCACCTATCACAGGACCTAAGAAACGCTAATTCTGTATACCTTTTCGCCGGAAACCATACTGGCTGCCAACCCCTTTTATTCATTGTGACAGTACTTCCTGTTTGTTTTCTAAAGCAGCAGAAGGTGTTTTTGTAATTTATGTTTTTACTGTCGTGGGGTATATTATTGCGCATATGTTTCCGTATTTTTTGCACTCTGTTCTTATAGGTGGATGTATTTTCGGTGGATAGAACTGGATATGCTATCGATATTGATGTTGATGTTTAGTGCTATTATTATCATTGTATTGCTTACTTTTACGCCTTTGCTTTTGAATTTTTCATTTGTGACAATTCCAAAACATGTATAATGTCTTTGGAAATAAACTACATATTTGTATTTGTAAAGTTGCCATTACGTTAATTACTGCACTGTGTATATAACATTCAATATTTTCAATGTATCGGTAAAATTTGGGCAGTAAAAACTGTGTCTCTACTCTGGAGTAATTTTGTTAGTCCTATAATAATCTTATCCATTCTCTCCACGAGCAACCAACTATAGTTTGTTCTTGGAATAAGGGAGCCTGGGCATAAAAATAATGTTGTTTGTGTTTGAGAGGGTTTCTGATTTTCGATGTACAGGGTAATTGATTATATTTAAGCCCATACCTACAGCCTTCACTATTTAAGATAGGAAAATATTTTAAATACAAAACTTGACAGTTTTTTTCTATATTTTCTTTTAACGTTATCAGAAGAAACAAAATCGTATCGGAAAATGGAAAAACGTAGACAACTTCGACTTTTTTTAATGAAACACCCTGTATATTATGCGATAAAATGAGAGATATCTTTTCTTATCTCTTGACATCCTTATGAAATTTCTTTGCAAATTATTTATAATTTAAGATAAGATATGTCAAAAATGGCTTACGCAAATGTGATCAATATATACAATATATTATACAGTGTGTTTAACGAGCATCGAAACAGAGACATTTTAGGGCATTTCAAAGTCAATTTCAAAAAAACGCTCGGACATGTCATTTTTGTATTCAAATGGGAAACTTTTTGACCCCATCGGTATTTCGCTAGGGTGCGCCCCCTGGGTGGAGTGACTTTTACCTCTCTTTTTAGGATAGGGAAGATGGGTCGAGTGGTACCTTGTTTTAAAGGTATTTCGATTCTCGTCACAACTGCGTATTTTTTTTGAAAATCGAATGATTATTTCTCAAGATATTCACTGTCAAAGGTGCCATGGGCTAAATCAGAAACAATCTTCTGGCCCTGTTATTCTCAAATTACCACTTTCCTGACTTTCTTCTCGGACACGTTTATTTTTGTGGGCTCTGAAAAAATGCAAATTGACGTGTCCGAGGCAAAAGCCAGGAAAGTGTTTATTTGAGAATACCAGGGACATAATTTTTTTTCTTATTTAGCCCATGGCAACTTTGACAGTGGATATCTTGAGAACTAATCATTCGATTCAAAAAAAAAAACAAATACGCAGTTGTGACGAGCATCAAAATACCTGTAAAACAAGGTACCACTCGACCCATCCTCCCTATCTAAAAAAGAGGTGTGAAAGTCACCCCACCCAGGGAATGCACCCTAGAGAAATGCCGATGGGGTCAAAAAGTTTCCCCCTTTGATACAAAAATGACGCGTCCAAGCGTTTTTTTTTTTAAATCGACCTTAAAATACCCTAAAACGCCTCTGTTTCGATGTTCGTGAAACACCCTGTATATTTGGAATCAGAAAGAAAAGATCTTTCATTTTATCGCATAATATACAGGGTGTCCCATTAAAAAAGTTGAAGGTGTCTACGTTTTTCCAGTTCCGATGCCATTTTGTTTCTTCTGATAACGTTAAAAAAAATATAGAAAAAAACTGTCAAATTTTGTATTTAAAATGCGCAATTTGCTGCCAAAAATTATTAATATTGAAATCATACCTGCAGGTGTTCCGCTATGATTCTGATGATGCATAATTAACTCCTGAATTTCTGGACCGGCCATTGACTGACTCACATTACTAGAACTAGTTGTGGTGCTATTGGTCTGTGTGAAATTGACTGCATTGCCATTATTGGTTGTTGAACTAGATGTTACGGCTGGAGAATTTTCTTGAGAGGCCTATAACAAGTAATGTTTAAATATTCAATTTTCAATCGTTTTTGAACTATTGAATCTACCTGGCTTTTCGGCCTTGACGATGAACTAGAACTAGAAGTTGTTCCATTCCTTAAAGGCCTAGCTTTATAAGGAACCTTCAAAAAATACAAAAATACAATTTTGAATTTATGTAGTGCGAAAAATCTTACTTTGGCTGACGCATTTTCTCCATGATGCCTTGTGAAATGTTCTTTGAGTTTGTCTCTTCTGGAACTTGCATAGTCACAACTGGAACATTTGAAAGGCTTTTCTTCCAAATGTATCCTAAATAATAATAAATATCATGAAATAGGTTTTTTTTATCATGCTTTTGATTTAAAATAGAACTATTGTGAAAAACATCTGCAAATTTTAAGTTTCCGTTCTCTTTCAAACGAGCTAACTTAAAAGTTGTTGGTACCAATGCAAGAAATTGAGTCTAGATGCCAAAAAACTAGATGAGAAAAAAAAAATTAAAGTTTAATGTCTTGTGCCAAATTTAAAAGCTTTCATAGTACCTATTCGCCGGGCCTTATTGTAGGTTTAAAAATTATTTTCTACTTTGTAGGTACCCTAAATTATTGAAAATGGTGGCTGTGGGCCCATTATTGATGAAAATTCCCATATTATTTTGTGATACCTACTTCAACAACGAAAAGTCTTTAAGGCCCAACAGTGCTGGTACTTGGTACTACATGCAAACTAGATCAGCTATACCTTCACGGTTGAGCTTGCGTTTGAGTATTCAGAGGACCTTGATTTTACAAAACAAATGATTACCAGAAATTAGTACAATTTAAGATCAGAAATTTGATCGCTTAAGGCAAGAAACAGCATAAAAATCCCAATTCTGGACAGTGGAAAAGAAATTTATCTATAAAACTAGATCCTACAATTCCAAATAAATTGTATTAACAATGATTTAACAAAGCAGACCAAGAAGGTTGTCACAGCATAAATGATACCAGCAAGCCCAATCCGGTTTTATCCTGTATAGTGTGGGATAAGGAAAAATAAGTCTTCCCAACAACTAACTTATAGCGAAAATTTCCAACTTTAATATTGCATGGTATAAAACTTACCTCTCATGTCTGACAAGATGTGACTTTTCCATAAATCCTCTCCCACATACAGAACATGCATGAGGTCGGGCACCTCCAGCATTACTGCCACTATTATGCGTTTTTGAATGTATTGCAAGCTGGCTCTTTTTAGAAGTGGAATATTTACAGTGTGGGTAAGAGCATCTGAATACTTCTCCTGTATGAATTCTTTTATGAGCTACCATGTGACTCAAAAATTTAGTATGAAATCCGCATGAGTCACAAGTTAAATTTTTTTCGCTGGAATGGGTTAGAAGGTGCGCTTCTAGGTTTTGTTTGAATCTAAAGGATTTTGAACAATGTTCACACTTGTAAGTTTTTTCTGGTGTGTGAATTTTCATATGGGAAACATAATTTTGCTTCTGTCGACACTAAAAAACAAAATCGATTTTTTGATATTATTGCATTCGTGAGCTAAAAGAGCTTACCTTGAAAGAACAAAACGTGCATTGATAGATTGATTCATCCAAATGCTGAGCCCTATGAGTAATGAGTTTTGAAATCTGATCGGTATTGTATTCGCAATAATCGCACTTGAAAGGAGGTCCGTTAAAGTGAGTTTTCATATGATTCAAATAATCTCCATGATACTGACAAACAAATGAGCAAATGCCACACTTATATGTCACATCTTTCGCATGGCTTAAGGCTAAGTGCTGTTCAAGTAGTAAGCTATCATTTATTGTAGCGAAACAAATAGGACACTTGATGCCGACTTTTTCGTCATTGTCTTCCACTACAGCTGAAAAAAAAATTGTATATAACTACTATTTCCAACTAATACAAGTACCAATATTTTACTACTGAACTAAAACTTTTCATTTTTATGGATAACGATCGTTGATAATTTATGGTTTTTGAAATAATTGGGAAACGGTCAAGTTTATTTATTTATTTTACTCTTTAACAATACCGAGCTTTCGGAGCTATTTTTCTCCTTCTTCAGGGCTATAATAAAAATTATAGTATAAAAGGTAGGAAGGTACACATGATTTCTAAAATAAAAAATAAAAAAATTAGTAAAAAATAAAAAAAATAATAAGAAATATTTACAATTTTTTTTTTTAACAAAATTTATACTTTACCTGGTGATGAGTTTATAAACTATAGATGTATGTTTTTTCTATCATCAGAAAGCTGAGTATAAATTTTGTGTAAAGGCTTGATATAACAATGTAAATGATTTAATTTTTTTGATAAAAATTTGATATAAAATTGACATTAAAGTGAAGATTGAAGAGGTAAAAAACCGGAATAAAAATTACAATAAAAAAAAAACTCGAAAAAAAAACAAAAAAGAAAACATTCACATTAGAACCTGAACACACAAAAGTTGCAAGATCTCTGAAAAGTACTCAATACAAGTAATATATAATTTGAGGTATTAAAAGTTGGAGCTTGTCATCTTAATGGATCGTATATCTTTCTACAGACTCATCATTTTTTCCTTTTTATTGTTTCTAGATCTGATATTTTTTATTAGAAGCAGGCTAACACCTCTTTGGGCTTTAATTCAGAGTTATTTGAAATCGCAAACTGTATATTGGCTAACAATCTCAAGCTAGTTACGGATAATTTGTTGTATTCTATGGCCGGGCTAAACTTCTTATTCACCAATCCGGTTTCTTGTTTGGTGGAATGTCAGTTAAAATTCTAGGGTGAAAGACATGATCCCAGAATTTTTTTTCCATGATGAAATTTATGACGATCTAAGAAACTCTGGATGATAAGTCTTAGAAATTTCTAAAGTGGTTAATGTCTTTTTCACAATAGCTTTTTAGAATGACATGGATAAAAATATACTCCTGGACAAAATTACCGCACCACTGCTTATGGTGATGCTTATGTGCAGTGGTGCGATAATTTTGTCCAGGAGTATAATATTGGTGTAAATAAGTTGTTAGTAAAATGAAAATAAAATAAATTTTCAGAACAATATCATTTCTAACACTACCTATACCACATTCCGATTTCTTAATCATATTCATTTTCGAACAGAAAAACCTTTGTTCAAGACGGAGGGGCAATAATTAGGTGTCTTGAATTTGTTTGCATGGTTTTGGATTAGAAGAGGAACATCCGATTGTCTTAGCTTTCCTGGTGGCATCCCCAAAATTTTGAAAGCTCTATAACAGATGACATTGTGTACTTATAAATCCCATATATAACAAAAGCAAACATTTTTGAAAACAAAATTATTTTTCAAATCCTTACATCAAATGGAGATAAGGGAAGCATGCTGTAGTGTTGGTCTTGAGAATAATAAAGAATTGATAATTTTTTGGATAATTTGATTAGTTCTTACCATCAGCTTCCTCCTTGTCATTTTCACTAAGCGAAATTCGTTGCTTCCTACAAGTTAACATTTTCAATGCCGCCATCCTTAAACTTGGCTTCAAACCAAACAGCATAAGTTTCTTTAAAATCAGTCTTTTTTGATCTTTTATTCGAGCTTTGACTTTTACTGAATTCAACACGTTTTGCACTGAGTTATTATCAGTTTTTTCAGTCACAATAATTTTTTCTGGCCTCATGTTCTCTTGGTCCTGGCTCTTTGAATCGCCAAGTATCATCTAGGTACAAGAAAAATAATTTATATCAAAAATTTCAAAAAGCAATCGAGCAGTCAGGTATTTACCTGTCCATATTTTGCTTGTAAAACTTCATATCTGGTCTTAAAGCTTGATAGAGTCCAGCTATTCTGTGCCAAATAATCTAAAAACCTAAACAAGCAAATTTCACTTTTACTATACAAAATACATGTATCTAAATGCTTGAAAACCTCGACTGGTTCCAAGTTGTTAGTATAGAAGCACCTAACGAGTTTTTCAAAATATTTTTCCCTTTTTTCCATGTCTAATAGAATCCATTTTGAGAGGAGTATTAGGGCTTTTTGGGTGGTTAGTATGAAATTCTAAAATCCAATATTAATAGGTTAGTAAATGTTATTGTATTTCTTATTGGCACAAATTATCTCTTCATGTCAACCAATTAAAGCAACATAAAAACTTGGATATTTCAGGGCTCCAAAAAATTTGAGTTCATTTGTCAACACATACATTTGTTACCTGTACAATTTCAGGAAGTAACATCAAAGTGTGTCTGTTCTAAATAAATAATTTTAAATTGCTCATAACTTCAGGTTCAGGTTTGTGACAAAGGCCCAAACTTTCAGCACCAGAAAAGGTAGGTAAATTGGAGCCCAAGAAAAAATTACCAGTTTTCTGAGTCTGTGAAAAAAATTGTACACACATTCTACCCCCAGGAAGGTGAATGTATTAAGAAAGAGGCTTCATTAGACTGTTGTTGGGGGCCTGATTCAGAGAAAAAAAAAACAGAAATTAGTGCGCAAAAATGCCTTGGAGTTTGAAACAGAAAAATATATCAAATCAGTGACAAAATTCAATAGTATACTACATACCAAGTAGGGAAGTGTTTCATTACTGTCGAGAGATTGACTATTATTCACGAGACAGAAATGGAAACTTTCCTCCGAGGTTTCTATACTATTTTATTTGCAAGCACACTTTATTTAAAAATTAATTATTTCATTTTTCAATAACAAAAAAGCTAACATGCCAGAATGTGTCAATTACTGTTTTGAAGTTTTTTCCTGACATGTTTCACTGTTGCCAGCAAAGGTGAATAAATTTAGAGTGAAGGAAATCAGGGAGACCGAAGAGGGAAGTAGAGTAGGTAATGCGACACTTCCAAATTTTCGAAAAGTCAGTAGGTAATATCAAAATTACCTATATGTTTGCGAATAAAGGACATTGTTTAGCAGTGTGAGAGCAGTAAAAAACGTTTAGGTCATTACCTATGGAAGCTTTGAAGGCTCAGAATTTAGATACTAGTTTTTTTTTTTAAACCCAGGAGTTTTCCTGTTGGAATAATCCTGACTCACAGATTTATCTCAGGAATAATCCTGACTTATACTGTTAACTTACAGAAGCTAAATTCGGGATTATTCCTGAGTTGTAAAAAAAACTCATATCTAAATTTTGAGCCTTCAAGCTTCCATAATTACCTAGACAGTTTGAGTAAATGCAAAATAGAAACAGTGAGCTAATGCTGGACATACCATTTTCCAAACTCATACAATACCTACCACTGGGAAAAGTTTCAGTTTTCATTAACTTTTTCAGGTACAAACAAAAGGAGGTGCCAAAGTTTTTATGCTGCTTTAACCAGAAAATGAACATCCAGAAATTCTAGCTACCTTATTTCTGAAAAAGTCCTGTAGTTCCTTAGAGCTCAGCCTTCCAATTTCATCCCCATCACAAACATTATCAATATGACTAGCTATCCAATTTTCTACAATATTTCCTAAATGCTTCAATTTAAACCTCTGAGTCAAAAAGTAAGTGAACAGACAATTATCTAAATTTAATTTAGTCCCTAGGAATTCTATACAATATTCTATAACTTTAGTAAGTATAAAATGATCAGCGAGTTTTAATAGTTCCTCTACATTGGAGTGTTTTACAGTAATTTCTCCAGTATACATAAAGCTTAATACATTATTAAATATATCACTATCTAGACAATTAACAGTAAGCTGCTCTTTGACTACTTTATGATGTTTCAAAATGGAATCAAAATAGGGCGAACTACAGGCTAGTACATTACGGTGAGCTTTCAGGATTTTGTTATTTACATAGAGGGTTACATCGCAAAATCTATTGGTTCGTTTTTGTTCGTATAATTTATGAAACAATGAAGAAGACAATTCCGAACAGTGGAATGTCATTGAACGGTTATCTTCCATGATAATCATCTAGAAAGAAAATAGGTATGTAAAAAAATTAACATCAATAAATTAAATTACCACTTTTGTGTTTACCTTTAATGTTTAATTCTATTTCTAAGTAAGCAAAAGAAATATATTCCGCCCAAATGAAGCGTACATAGTAATAATTTTCAAATTTGATGCATCATGACATAAAAATAATTTTAGTTTAACCATTTTACTTTAATTTAACCATCAATAAACTCTTTGATTTTTATAAACAATTAGCTGTCATTTAACTAGTAGTCAGTCACTGTCACTGTCAACGGTGTCAGTGTCATTTGCCGAAGATTCGAAATATTGGGGTGCGTTCGAAAATGGGAAATGGGAAAATTATTTGCAAGGGTGGGTTCGGTATCGGCCTCGTTTTTGATAATCGCCGCCATATTGGTGTGTCACCATTTCCGACGTCATAACTAAGTCGTCAGCTGTTTAAACAGCTGCGTAGGTAGCATTGAATTTATCGAATGAGATTAACTCCCAAAAATCGGAAACTAACAGAATTGCTCATTCTCATAAGGGGTACGTTCGCCAATTTTCGAGTCGGCAGAGTCTGCGAGTGACGTCATCACTATCAGCAGCTCATAGTGGTGACGTCACCCGCAGGCCTCAATGGCATGCTTGCCATTCAGGCTGTGCTTATGACTTTTGACTCGATTTTTTGTCGATTTTAATTCTAGAAAAGGTGATTTTAACAAGATTTTAATGTTTAGGAATTCGTGTTTTTGACTTATAGTGTTTTAAGCTCGGATAATGCATTTTACGTCAAGAGTTTGAGCAGCAGAAATGGCAGACATTTTCAGCTCAATTAGGCAATCCAATCCATCTGTCAAAACGAAAAATTCAATATGGCGTGGCGGCCAGCAAGTTTGTTGTTCTTAATATGTGTTTTCATGCATATTTTAATTATTTTGCTTCGAGTTTTGCTTGCAGTTTTGATTTTGATTATTCAATAAAATATTCGTTTACTAGGTACGTAAACTATTAAGGGTGGGTATTATAAAACTGCTTTGACAGTTAACTTGAAATTAACTTTTTGAATTACATGTAATTCCAGAAGTTAACTTTGAGTTAACTCTCAAAGTAGTTTTATAATATCCGCCCTAAGTCGGGTAAAAACTAAATATTTTTTTGTGTTTTTTGATCTATGTGTGGACGCCACGCCATCTTGTACGTCACGTGGTTTGGATTGCCTAATAAGCAGTCCTATTAGGTTAGGGTTTTTGCGTATACGTAAACGTAGGTTTTGAACGTACGCATGCGCAAAAACATCAAATTCGCGTTCACGTACGCATGGGGCCCGTGAGCTAACGTATTTTTGCGTACGGACCAAACGTAAATCGTATCGGGCCGAACACGACAATCGGGAGCTAGTTTGTAAGGGAAAGGAGAACATAAATAAATAAAGACAAAAAAAAACATTAGGTAAATTATTCTCCTGATCTTTTATCTTCCTGGCTGTGAAGAACTACAACGACATCCGTGTCATCGCCCATCATCATTATTCAGTTCTCCAATAGCGACTGTCAAGAGTAATTCTTCCATTCTTTTTCGAATTTCTATACGTGATATCGCGTGTATAAAACATCCTAAAAAAATCAAACCTCGGTCGTCGAATAATAGCTCTGTTCCAACCGACATGAGAACCGTTCCAGAACCACTAGTTTCCAGTTGCCCACCTATTTTTCAATAAGTTAAATATTTATCCTACGTGACAAATAAATTGATCGACTGGAAATTAGGGAAATTACCATTCTAGAACGGTTCTCATGTCGGTTGGAACAGAGCTAATGATAAGCATAACATAACCTCACAGACAAAATTTAAAACTAACTCTCTGCGCAGCTGCAGCGATACGCATCCTCTCAAGTATTTTCGTGTTTAAACTGTGGTAGTTTACGCGTCCCGTACGTGCATAACTACGTTTACGTCGACGCAGAACCTCTCGTAAGCGGTACCTACCTGTTTAATCTCTCTAGTGACTTTATTAAACTACAGTGGCGACAATTAACTTCCTATTCCTGATTGGTTCTTTAAAATCCTATACCGGGTGCCCACGAGATTACTTTCCGGCTGCCATTTTTTTATTTGTTCATCGATATCAACGAAACTTGATAGGCTTGATATTCTAACGAAACGCCATTTTTTTGCATCCACGACAAGTTTTCCTGACTTCCGGTTTAACCGGAAATTACCGAAACTTTTAATTTTCAAATGGCACACCCTGTAAGTATATTTTTTGTTTTTTCGATTCTGCAGATCGTTTTGCGTCCTAGTGTACCACTTTTAAATCGAGTTTTGTCCAAATTTCGTTTTCAAATTAAATTTTAAGTTAAAAAAAAAAAAAATTACCTACATAATGGCTCATATGAATAAAACAGAAGCAAATGCTTTTACTTGAGTTTTTTGAGATATACATATTCAGCTTTAATGCAGCAAAAAGACACGAAGGTAGAGTAAAAGCATTTGCTACAATTTATTCATACGGACTCAATAAATCAAAAATGTTTAAACGAAAATTAAGAAGAATGTCGTAGTGTATTATATCGTTGGATTCGCCTCAAAATACTGCATTTAGTGATGATGTGAAAGTGATATGTTTCTATTCTAGTTTCTGAGCTAGGGCAAAAATACTACAATAATGAAGTTTACAGCCCTCTATCAAAAAATTTTACAGATAAAATTGAGTTTGTATTTTTCTGAAATTAAGTAAAGTATGTAGTCATTTTAGGATGATCATGGCATGGCACTCTAGTTAAAAAATTTAACTTTAATTAAAAAACAAAGTTTAGAAAAAAATCGATTTAAAAGTGGTGCATAAGGACGTAAAACGATTTGTAGAATCCGAAAAACAAAAAATATACAGCGTGTGCCATTTAAAAATCAAAAGTTCCGGTCATTTTCGGTGAAACCGGAAGTCAGGAAAACTTGTCATAAATGCATAAAAATGGCGTTTGGTTAGAATATCAACCCTACCAAGTTTCGTTGATATCGACAGATAAATAAAAAAATGGCAGTCGGAAAGTGATCTCGGTGGGCACCCGGTATATTGATATTGAAAACGCCGTCATATTCTCCCTTACTTCCTGCTGATTTAAAATATAAATACAGGGTGAGTCCGAAATAAGTGCGCATTTTGTCATGATAGAGTTAGGATAATCACTTTTTGCATAGGTACTTACCTACATGTGTCCGCAAACGTCTCGTTACGAAAATACAGAGTGTTGAAATTTTCGGAAAATTTTGACTTTTTGCCTTTAGATTCAAAATACCTTGAGCGATTTCGTTCAAATTTTCAGAGTGTTTGCGATGTTCTCAAGCATTTTTCTAAAAAAATCCGTATGAGTTCCACTTTTCCAGGACCGGACCTAGAGCGACTCTTTTTTTTAACAGGAGTGGAGTGTATCGAACAACGAGATTTTCAAACATTACATTAATTTTTATTGTTTATCTCGTAAACGTCGCATCGAACAAGAAAATATCGATATAGGTACCTTAAAAAAGAAATCAAAAAAATAATTTTTAATTTGTCAAAAAACCCAGGGCTGTACCACTTTTTTTTTGAAAAAAAACTGAGTCACTCTAGGTCCGGTCCTGGAAAAGTAAAACCCAAAAAGATTTTTTAACAGATGCTTAAGAACATCGTAAACACTCTCTGAAAATTTGAACAAAATCGCTCAAGGCATTTTGAATCTAAAGGTATTTTTTCTTGAAAATGACGTCATATTTGCCAATCAAGGAAACGCTTATTTTCAAACCAGAAAAATTGAGGTTGGAAACTTCAAATTAATTCATTATTTATTATATCACAAATTTTCGAAAATTGATTAATAATTAAAAATAATAATAAGAAACAACCTCAAAATCCCCACTTTTGGCACGTTCAGTTGTAAAATTGAGAGGGAGGGAGTTCAAAAACGTTTCAAATACAACTCGGCCTTGTTTTCGAATGCGGTTCGACCTGGGGTCGTATTTTCGAATATTCTCCCATACGAAATTTGATACGATTTCGAATAATGCTCCCCATTTAATTTACATTGCTGTCAGTCAAATTTCGTGTACGAAGTGTACTCGAATGAATTCGAAAATACGACCCCTGGTTCAAAACGAAGCGAACGTGACGTCATTCGGTTAGCAAAAAAATGCCACATTTTTGAACCGTTCTAACACGAAAAAACGCCTCCATGTGGCTCCATCCATTATTGAGCTATTAAACATCAAAAATTTCAATCGCCATAATATAGCAAGAATATTACAAACTACTAGAGGATTGCTCATCGGCCTCGATTTTTGGAATCAAGGTTATATGGTATTGCACCTTTGCCGACGTCAACAACTTTGTCGTTGCTTGCGCCAGCGGCCGTACTTTAGAAATAGAATATACATTTATGATGAAAATGAAAGATATTTAATTTTGATTAACATAATAGGCTAAGAGGAAGAAAACGGGATCTAAAAAAGGGTTGTTTTAGAATGTTGATTAATGTATTAAAACCAAGTATGCATCATAAAGCAACAGCCAGCGGAATCATAGCCTGTCTTGCAAACACCCTACGTCAAGGCGAGAAACGACACGCTGCCTACGTCATTACGGGTACTTTGACGTGGTAGGGGACATGGGATTTGAATTACACAGGCCTTATGAGGATAGGCTATCGCTGGTGTAGTCGTAGTGTGTAATATACTTGATAATACAGTGACGTTGGAATTTGACACTATCCAGCAACGCCATGTTGAAAAACATAGAGATGCGTTTTGTTTCAATCTCTCGCAGGCCAAATCCTATTAATCTATATCGTTTGTCTCAACTTCCTTACACTTTTTCGTTTCATAACATCGAATTCACAACGTCTCGAAAAAAATCGCACTTCCAAAAAGATAATAACAAAAAGGTCTCCATCGTTCAAACTTTTGTTCACTAAGGCCGAACTTTTTCGTCTTCAGATAAAGTTGCTGGTAACTATCTGCGAGATAAATTTACCGATCTA